CTCAGCAATTAATATTTTTAATTCAAATATTTAATTAATGCTTATGATTAAAAATAATTAATTTTCAAACATTGTGACTAATTTAATTGAATGATAAAATTAGTCGTCAATTACCAATTACTAATCTCAATCTCCAATTAAATATATTAATCGTTAGTTTTTAATCGAAACTGAACTAAAATTCTGTTTAATGTACACTTTTAACAAATTATTCATGTGAAAATTATTTTTATTAAAACTTTTATAAATATAGTATACAATTGAAAAAAAGATAATATTTATTAACTTGATTAATATACAAATTGTAATAGTAAAACTACAAAAGTATATTGCAATAAGGTATGTGTTTAATAACATGCATAAATTGACGATTAAATACGTACTTAATTTAATTACGTTAAATATTGCTTAATTATGATACTAGCGATATTAATATTCCAAAATGTATTTTAATTAAAATAACAAATATTCTCTACAAACAGGTACGAAAATTATATGATGACAAAAGACTCTTATTTGGAGGCCAGTCCAAGATCTCCAATGTATGCTTTAGATTGTGAAATGTGTAGAACTACAACCGGAGAATTAGAGTTGACGAGAATATCCATTGTCGACGAAAGTTTGAATGTAAATTCAACATGAATATTATCTCACTAACAATCGATATGTAGATTTCATATAATTTTTGTTGTAGATTATTTACGATAGTCTGGTTGTACCAGAAAATCCCATCACGGACTATCTCACCCGATTCAGTGGTATTACAAAAGAGATGTTGGCAGATGTATCGACTACATTACCCGACGTTCAACAAGTTTTACGAAATTTGCTTCCGGCGGATGCTATTCTCACTGGACAAAGTTTGAATTCTGATTTACATACCTTGAAAATGATGCATCCGTACATCATTGATACATCTGTAATCTTTAACCTTACTGGTGATAGGTCATCATCATCTTTTCTTGATACTACTTTTAGATCTTACCATGTATTATGTTGGTCCAACAATAATAACCGATTTCGAACGGCAATTTTGATATGTTAAAATTCAGTACAAATGTAATTTTATCCATTAAAATAACCATATTGCAATGAGATATTTTAAGCAATAAATAAGCTTTAAAATATTATACGTATAAAAAACATTACAAATAGTAAGATTTATTAGAAAAATTATTTGTAGAACATAAATTGGAAGATATTGGAAGATATATACAGCCATTATGTTTGGTCCAACTGAATACAATCTTTTTAAAGTAAAAGTACTAATTGTTACGCACAATATAGGTACAGAAAAACGAAGTTGCAAACATTGGTCAGGGAATTTCTAGGGGAGAGAATACAAGAGCACAAATCCGGGCATTGTTCAACCGAGGATTCGAAGGCCGCAATGAAATTAACAAAATTGAAATTAGCGAGAAGTGTAGATTATGGTGACGCAGTATTGCTAGGAAGATGCGATATGGGCATGTTGAAGATGGAAGTAGATCAGCATAAAAATGTAGATAGAAAGACAGAAATCGGTAGATATGCCACTTCGCTTTTTAAACATGTAACGAAGAATCAGAAAACAGCTGCAATTGTGGGTAATGGAGAAGTTATGAACGAATACTCCAAGTATTTGTCTTCTTCTCTTAATGTCATGGATGACAACAATTTTAACAAGAACGATCAGGTAATAATCTTGACATTGAATGGTAATTGTCTAGTAACTTGAATCGTTTATTACATTACTCAACTGCAGTTTTGCGTTTTATTAACCAATAGTTCATGAGACTCATGATTTTCAAAATAAATGAAAATGTTGAATAACATAGTTATGTTAAAGGAGCCTCCATTGTCAAAATATGTTTGAATGTTTATAATGTTATACACATAAAAATGTATTGTTATATTTGGAAAAATCTACAGAATCATTCATGTAGTTTTTTACGGTTCAAGTAAATCAAATTCTTATCGTTAACGATTTGACTTCCTTTTGTAAATTAAATTTCTTAAAAACTAAATAGGATCGAGCAAAATGGTTTATGGATTTATTGTATAGATATTATGCAAGTTGAAATCTATAAAAATATTTATTGAGATAAGCAGTATTATTATTTGTCTAATTATAATTTTGGATTTGTTACAGATACGACTTGTTGTCGTTGACGATAATAAGCAAGCCGTAATCCGTGCTTCCCAAATAGCAATGGAACACGCTTTTACTTTGTGTCATGTTAGAATCGAAGAAGACAAATTGAAAGACGACCAATTGGACAATACATTTCGTACAGTGAATAAATGGGTGAAGATGTTATGGCAACATACAGCAATCAACGGCTTAGCGTGTATCATATTCACTGGACAAACCAATAAAGCCAACGGTGCCTGTTTTTTGAACATAAAAAGAGAAATATCTGAATTATGTGACCCGTATTTAGGAAAATAATTTGCAATTTGTATAATTTGTACATTCCTGTTTGGAGGATATCATAAAAGAACTTTGACTAGAATCATAGAGCATAAATTATAGAATACGTGGAACTTACAAAAATGTTACGTTATTTTGATTATCTTTTGCTAGAAATGTACAAATATTGTATTGTTAATAAACTTTTTTACCCTACGTAGTCTATATTTAAGAAGACATCCTGTGTGAGTTGACGTAAGTCAAATTTTTCTATGTGTTTATAGATTATCGTATAATATATAAAATGAGAGAAAAATTTCTTTCACCAATTGGAAAATTACTTGACGTCAGTGTGTATGCTCTGTTGTGCATAAAAAATCTAGTTTGCTTATTAAAAAAAGAACTTTATCTATGCCAGCTTTAGCTATGTTGGTTGTTCTATCTTCGACTTATTTTCAATTTACTATATTTTTGTAGAAGATATGTTTGATATATTATAATATATTAATGTTATATTATTTTGGTAAATAAACAAAGTCTTATAAGTTGAAAACGTAAATATTATAATAAAGTTCTATTAGAACTACGTTATATATAATATTTGTAGTGTTTTGCTTACCTGCCCGGCTAGCTCAGTCGGTAGAGCATGAGACTCTTAATCTCAGGGTCGTGGGTTCGAGCCCCACGTTGGGCGGATTTCATTTTTCTCCTTTATTTTACTTATTTTTTATCATATTGTAGGAATTATTTTAGAAAATCTTACGAGGGTCCATGGTAAAATGATCAACACACAACTATAACAATAACAGTTTATTAACAATGACAAGTCTCCACTACGCAACAACTCGTGAATAACGACTGCGATAACGACACGCACAAGATCATTTGATCACGTTTCTACTCAGAATGCCTCGATCTTTTCATTCGGCTCTTTCACCCTTACCGATCTTCTTTGATGGGGAATTATACCTCTCTTCCCTATATTATTTTATCACACATACACACACTCTCTTTCTCTCTCTCTCTCTCTCTCTCTTTCACTCACTCACTCACGCTCTATCTTTCAGCAACGCAGGACTTCGAGGAACCTAAGCAATAAATTCAGATCACTCGAAGCTGCCCAAACACTCTCCAAACATCCATCTCATTCATTCAGTATTTCACAACAGCCGCTCTTGATTATTCTGTCTTTCATACATGGAAAACCCTACAATACTATTGAACGATATCAATTAATGATCGTTGTAAAGTTATTATGATATCGAATATTTATTAACTTTGAAATATTCGTAGAATATTTATAAAAATTAAATACAAGCATATATTTTCAAATATTATTGTAAATAATCTGAATAATTGATATCATAGTATTTACGTTGTAAAACAACAATTTAAAACCCCATTTATTATTATTGTTAAGTACATGTCAGTATATTATTTATACTATAAAGCCATACAATTTGAGACCTAATAAATAATATTCAAATTTATGTACATATATCAATTATATGCTCACATGTTACGATACGTTTAAATAAAATAGAAATACTGTTTTGCGAGGACAATTTAGGAAAATAGAAACTCTTTATGCATATAATGTATACTAATAATAATAATAATAATATTAATGTTAGAATACTAGTTGGATTATATATGTATATACGTATATATCGTATCAGAATACTGTGACTA